TTTTTAAATGCGTCATGATTAATTTGTCTTACTACTGAAGCATGCTTTATGCGAACACAGTTGTCCGACATAGAGCAACATATCTTCATGAAAATGTATGTTAACTTGTTTGTCGTTAATATCACGACCGGATCAATTAATTTTTTTAAGAAAAAAATGAAAGAGAAATGATAACAACGAAGCAAAATACCAATAATCCAATAACCTTCCAGTAATTTGATTCCCTTACACACATCACGGTTGTTTGATTTGATTAAGCCATGAGCATAGGAATATACTGCGACCGCACTTGGACTACCACGTGCTACTTGTTCATTGTAGGTCCTTTCCAAGTTCTGAAGCAAAATCTTCCTACAGTCAGTAAACAATCTTGTTTTGTTATTTTCAAACAAATTTCAACATACAACATTATAAGATAAGAAATACATTTTCTATCACTTAATGCTTCTTAAAATCTCTGAGAACCAAACTATGGTTGTAATAAATAGTCCGCAATAAACGTATGGTACAGACTGTGATCAAGCCATCAGATCACAAAAGAAACAAAATATTTACTTTGGCAACTAAGCATGAAAGAATCATTATCATTAAAATACAATAAAGTATTAATCACAACCATTATCACTACTGTCAATTATAATGTTACAAAATTCTGAGGAACAGAATTAAATTAATTAGTTAGGATGACGCAAATCATAACGAGGACCATTATAAAGGTTTGATAAGGTCCAGAATAACTTAAAACGTGTCGGCAAATGCATACTCATTATTAAAAGAAGTGATACTTAACGAAGGTAATATAATATAAATACACAGTCATTGTTACTAGAGTTAGAGTTGAAAAAAATGAATTTTTTGTTAACATATATTTATCACAAGGAATAATACTTGTTCTGAATTCGATGATACAATAAGAATAAACAGTAATCAACATACGGCCAAAACGTCTGGGTCGATTCGTTCATCCACAATTACACCGGAATCCATCCCTGAAAATGTCTATTAATCGTTCCTGAATTAATCAACGCCCTAAAGTGACAAAACGCAAACCATCACGGCCACGCCTCGAACACGCCACTCCTTACCATCACATTCAATGTTACGCGACCACGGCTCCAAGCAGTCAGTCGCCATGCAATCCTCGTCTCGCTAACATTGATTCGCTCGCTTCTTATGCTGTTGTTGAAAATACCGAGAAACCGGAGTATGGAACTGCACTTTTCATTCTGAATTAATTTTTCTCCTTCAAAATTCACTGTGATTGGACTAAAATATTGAGTGCATTTCATTTTGTTCTTTTATTTTTCCCAACACATCGAAAAAATCCCATTTCCCAATTACATTACTTCAAAAATGACAACTGAAATACTGAACGAAAATAACCGAAGATATTTTATTTAGTTTTCTAAATTTCATATTTTGTATATATATATCATATCGGAATGCATGAAGAACATGCTTTCTGGATATCACTTCCACATTTCGTATTCTGAGTGACCGAGGCTGGAAGATATATGTCTGTAAGCTGAGACTCATTACGGAATCTTCTTCAGCTTAAATGTATGAAAGATCAATGTATGATCTTTCGTCAATTTTGTTTGACATGTGAAGGTTTATTAGATAAAAAATTTGTAAAAACGCTGATCACCGTGAGTCATTTATCAGGTTGATTTTGATAGCACATTTGATTAACAATTTGACTAAAAAAATCATTTGAATGATGCTAAATTGAACGGATCACGCTTCGGTATGACATTAATTTCACCGTCGCCTGTTGTAGTATGGTGTAAGGCCTATCGATATCAAGTTATGCCCATACATTACAAAGGAATTACATGGGATCTAAAATTTCAACAGTTAACCTACGACATTATATTCGGAAAGTGAAAAGCCATATGCTAATTTTTTCTTGATACTGATACTGGCAATCTGGTTTCTCATCAATACTTTTGGCAGATTCTCAATCGTATTCAGTTTGTAGGATAATAAAGTTACTCAGAATATGACAACTCGAATTGCATTTATATTTGATTTATGAAATTTCTGATAATGATTTATTCCAAATTAGGAAAAAAACTGAAGGACTGTTTCTCTATCTCCTCAGTTTGTTCGGTTTAAGAACAATCCAGTGGGAAATGAAATTCGAATATCATTAATGGAGAAATATTGGATAGGGCCACGCTACTTTAGGTCATAATTTACTGAAAGCTTGGTGATTCCGGAACTGTAAACACACTAATTGTAAGAGGTGGTATATATATTGCAGATTGGTAGACAACATGACATTGGAATGATCGGAAATGGAGAAACAGTTGGAGATGGAGGTCGATTAGTTGAAATTAGGAATTTTGAAAATGCTAGAGTTGGAGGCATGGGGAATCGAACCCCAGACCTCTCCGATGCGAACGGAGCGCTCTACCCCTGAGCTATGCCCCCACGTGAGAGGAGTGTGGCGGATCAATCTGAATGGTGAGTGATTTTTGTTTTTTCACTGATTATTTCAAGAATAATTCAAATCTGAAGGGTATTTCTTCATTTTGAATTTCCCATTTTCATTCGAATGTAATGGCCATACTTTTGAGAGCAAAAGCTTAAGCAAAAGGAATTATTCTTGTAAAACTGCGACAATTCAAAACAAAAATTTTTTTCCCAATTAATAATTATAAGTGGAAAACAAATTAGCAAAGCAAAAGTGTGCAAACGCCAAAATTAAAGTTAAATGACAAAGTTATAGCTCGCGACAAGTTTTCATGTAGTTTACCTTACGTGCATGCATTTAACATGTTACCTAGTCAGCACTTACTGCTTACAGATTCTTTCCTAGGAAAGTTCCATTGAATGCAACATGAATAACCTTTTGACCGAACAGCATCGATACTAGACCAAAGTGTGAAACTGATTTTAAATTGGCCAGTAATCTAAGTATTTGAATCTTTTCCAGGCATCATTTCTTGAAATCTATTTAATTTTTATTAAATGGCAGCCAACTGCGATCAAAGCATTTTTAATGTGTTTAACAGCTTCTAACAGTGCTAATGGTGAATGGTGAAAGTTTCGCTGTTATCACAGCAATATTAGAGAAAACATGAATAAATATTAAAGTGTTCATTAGCATCTCTGAATGCTTTCATTTTCAGAGACAAAATTTGAAAGGTGAAACTTTTAAACGAAAAGTTGATAATTGCTGAGAACAAGTTAAGTTGAAAAGCACAAATTATTCGTATTGAATTATTTATGATTTTATTGTGTTCTTGAGTGTTTCATTCTTGAATTAAAGCTTTGTCAACCAGTTTAAAGAACGAAATACTATAAAAAATTTTAGTTTTGAATTGATAATGTATCAACTATAATAGTTACCATTTAATAGACAATAAGTGGACAATAGCTTACCATGGTTCATATAATCATAATTTCGTCTAAATTCGGATTAAAAAATTCTAAAAAAAATTTTGGTTAGTAAAAGATATACTTTGTCGTAGAAAAATTAAAGAAGTATTGCTTTGATATGAAATTCGAAGAATTAGCATTTTTCTGCTGTTCAGTTAATAACGATAAGGAATTTGATAAATGGAGTGCGCTGACTTGTAAAATTGTTTGAGGTTGTCACTTGGTCAACGAAACCATAAGGAATTTTATATAAGCGATATAATATTGAGATTTTGTTCTTCATTTTCAAGGAGGCAAATGTCCAAAAGAATTTTATGCTATCATTAAAATTTCATGCTAATAGATAAATACAACATTCGTAAAATAATGTAATCATATAAAATCAGAGATGGTAATCATATAATGGAGTTAAAAAGGTTGACAATTTTGATTTTGATCTTATTGTGCATAATAAAAACAAACTCAAAAAAATGATTTATTTTTAAAATTAGATAATCTTATGAATGTATCAAAAGTTGAATTTGATAAGCAAAGCTTTTCAATCAAAACTGTGTTTGTGCAACATTCCAATTATTGTTGTTTTATCATAAAATTCAAGAAATTGATAGGAACACAACTTTTATAAGTTTTTAAATATGCAGTTGTTGTAGGTAATTAGCAATATTTTCTAATTATCAGTTACGCATCCTCGTTCAATAGTAATATTGAGCGAAGTATTTTTGTATTTTCGAGAAAAAAAATGATCTATCGAAGATATAATTTGGATCAAAATTATTTCTCATTGATAATGCTAAACATTATCATAGGTTCTTCCCAAAGTATTATGTCTTGATAATTTGTTTATTTTCATATGAAGATTAGAATTTTTGAATGAAATATGCGATAAACTGATGCGATGATTGGTTTGGGTGCATTTGGCCATTAATTTTTTAGCTTTAAAAATTAATGAATGATAAGCTTAGTGCACTCCATGATTTTTTATAGCTGCAAGATAAAATAATACTGAAATAATTGGCACATCAGTGCTATATGAATGCGAAAATGTTATGCCCTATGACAAATGAAGTTCAAATAATCACCAATTTATCTTTTACTAAATTTTGAAACTTTTTTTAACGCTTTTATTCTTTTTGCACCATTCATCATCTCAAATATTAATAATTGTGACATTGCAGATTTTTAGTGATAAGGTATCCAAATCATTGTTTTTTTATACTAGCTTGCCAAATTTCTTGCTCGAAATTCATGTTTAAAATTCCTGACATTTATTGGTAAGTATTTAAAATAAAATGTAATTACAACAATCATTAAAAAATAATATTTAATGAATATTTAGTTTACATGAATAATGAAAAATGTTGCGCTTTTTTAGTAGAAATCGTGAATCGCATTAATTAGTACAGAATGCATCAATTTCAAATTGCTTACACGTCGGTGATGCTTTTGGTTGTCATCATTACTAATTATGCCTTGTTTAGTCCAAGTTTGTTGGTTTATTGTTTAAAATTATAAAAATAAGTTTCATATTTTTTTCTTTCAGAAACTTGAAGAATGGATTTTCGAAAACTGTTTACTTTGTTTCAATTAATATGTTGATAAAAATTATTAATTTAGCTCATATTATCTTCAATAGCCTGCCATAAAATACTTGCATCGGATTACAAATAAATTTATATGCATGAGCATTTAGCAAAGTAAAAAATGTACATGATATTTTATTAGTAAATAAATATATCAGCCCGAAGAAATATTGTTGTATTAAAAGTTTGATAGATTTTGCTTAAGTTATAAAATCAACGTTTGTTATCATTTACATTATGTTTAAGATTAAAAAAATTGATCTCCATTTAAAAATTGAAAATTTTGATTAGAAAAATATTTAAAACTACAAAACTAAATAACATTTAGAACAATGAAAAAATTTGTTTTCAGATTGGCGAAATCTCGCATTATCTGATAGTTATGAATCATCAGCAAAGGACAGAATAAAAGGAAACATAGCGATGAATGATACGATGTCAAATGAAACGAAGTTAGTCATACCTCGACAGATGGGTGTCTTGAGAAATCGTTGTTCATATAACGATGATATGAATGATCAATTTGCGGATGATATGACAATGTTTGCTGAAAATGATATGAATTCCATTATTTATAACACATTTGAGCAGCTGGATAATTCAGATCATTTCTGTTCCCTGTGGTCTTCGGTAATTATCCTCTCATTTTTTATTTTTCTTTTTTTGTTCTTGTTTAAATTTAAAAACTCTTGTTCATTTTTTAATATTTAAACAAAAAATACTTCTAAGTTTATAACTAATTAAAATTTCATTTACGAAAAATTGGGATGCTTTTTTTCTTTAGGAGAAACCAATATCGGATACTATCGTTATGGTTTTACTTATCGGTACAAGCCTCCTTGACTTTGTGGCTTTAATAACAACGTTGATTGATTACGACATTCAATATATATTCAAGATGTCATTTGTCAGCTTTTTATTCCAACTTAATCTTATTCCAACAATTCTTTTGACCACTGTTGTTGTCTTATATGCCTATTGCAATAAACAAGCCGTCGGTTAGTGCATAAATTGAAAATCAATCTAAAAGTGTTCTGTTCGGGAAGGAATTTTGTTTCGAATTTAATGCCAATATTGAAAATATTTGAAAAAATTAATTTGAATCTACAATTTTTAAATTAAAAGGAAAAACTTAGTTTGAACATCCAAAAACAAACATTTTTTGGTTTGTTTTTGTAATATGCATTCGATGATATGACCCAAATAATTGGACAAAGTATTTATGAATATTTTCATCTTTTTGTTTATTTGTAGAATGTTCGATGGAATGATAGTTGCATACCAGGCTTTTATTTCCTAAAATATTTGTACTGATTGATGTGAAGGTTGCAGATGCTGCAAATCATATCGTGAGGCAATTAGCAAGCAGCCCAATATCAACCAGAAGTGCGGGGGACATAGACGTGAGTGTCGGAAGTGGCTTCTACGTCGGTTGTGTCGCTCTAATGATCCATTGGCTTCTTAATTTCGGTACTGCCATCTATTGGCAGTGGCCACGAATTTCTCGTCTCACTTCAATCTTCTAATTGTCATAATCCTTTTTTTCCTTGCTACTCTTGAGCATTAGAACTGAAATAAGCGACATACTTTTGTAGATACCATACCACGGTTATTATATCATATCGCCATCACTGTAGTTCATCATCTCAAATTAGACAGTTTTATTGTATCGAAAAATTTTTTTACTCATTCATCTTTAGCAGAATTGTAGAAATGAAAGTATATTTTGGCGTTCTTTTTGGTGCATATCTACTTACTTTTAAGGCATTTTGATCAAAGAATAAATAAATCTGTGCAAGCAATTTATCACTGGGCATTGTTTATGAAAAATGATGATACGACCTTTATTGCTACTTAATTAACTGTCCATAATGGCAGTAAATTAACTTATTTCTGGAGGCAAAAAAACTTCATCCCAGTCAGTCCGGAAAGAACATCAATGAATCGATTTCAAGATTCCTCATCTTCTTATATTTCTCTTACAACCAGTCGAATCATATCTTTGCTAACGAGATCACCGAAGAAAAAGTACTGTTAATTTAATTTAACATTTGTCACATAAAAAGTTTAACATTTGTTACATAGAAATAATGCGCATTCAAGAAAAATTCGATAATCTGCGTAGTGTAAACCATTATCTATTAAATACAAACAATTATCTATTTAATGCAAGCAATGTAATGAAAAAATAACAGTAACAATTGATATAGTATTGAATGATTACAAACAGATGTCGAAATTTGCGCTTTTTCTTTCATAATATTTTTTCCGAAATTTGACATTTTTAAAGATAATGGAAGTTAATCAGTTGCAACAATTATCATAGAGTAATAATAATGAATGATAATGAAATAAAATAGGAAAAATCTTCCTTTTTTTAAAAAAGCTAGTTCATAATATCAGTTAAGAAAATTATTGCATGTAAAATAAATTAATTTCATATTTTCCAATAAAGAAGAAAAATGAAGCAAAATTTTATGATAGATAAGCAATATTCGATTGAAACGTTACGAAATGTAAAAAAAATGAATGATAACATTAAGTAAAAAATCATGTGATAAATATTAATAAAAAATTTTTTTAACTTGTGTGAAAATCTTCAATTTTTTGACCAAAAGAATTTATTTGAAAAATCTTTTACTAATTATTTCAACTGAAAAAAAGAAATTCTTTTCTTAACTTTTCTTTCATCTTTTTTATTTTCTCTGGATGATTGTGCTTATCATTAACATTTCCTATACCATTAACATCTCATTATTATCATTTATTATTGTTAT